TATCGCTGGGTCTGCCATGCAAAATTAGCTGCTTGGGTACCTTAGATACATCTGCGCTCTTATATAGGCTAGCACTCCAACTCTTTCTGTGTCGCTGGCCGAGGTGGGACTAAACAAACCAGTGGGAGCTCCTCCTGATGTTATGAATAGACTACAGTAGAGCCCTATAGGAGAAAAATAAGCCCATAACAGGTTGGGCCTTGCATGCAGGTTCGTTGGCTTGGGCCCATGCCTACTTTTTTGTCGCTGACTTGCTCTTTGCGCGCGCGATGCAGAGGCTACTACTCGTTTGGCTGTAGGTTCGTGCGCCCTGACGCATATTCGGTTTCCTTTTCGGTTAACCGAGTTAAAACCGAACCAACCGAAGTATGTTCGGTTAGTAAAGCTAAAAACCGAATTTTTCTATAGCAGCATTAAAAACTGGAATTTCGGTTTTTTCGGTATCGGTGTCGGTTCGGTCTTTAGTTTGTCGGTTTTTATGCCCACCCCTACTCTTGAGCATGCGTTGGTTTTCCCTTGAAGATGAAAGGGTGATGTAGCAAAGTAGCGTAAGTATTTCCATCGGTTTTGAGAACCAAGGTATCAATCCAGTAGGAGACTACACGCAAATCGCCTAGTACCTGCACAAACAAACAAGAACCTCGCAACCAACACGATAAAGGGGTTGTCAATCCCTTCACGGTTACTTACGAAAGTGAGACCTGATAAAGATAATAAGATAAATATTTTTGGTATTTTTGTTGTATAGATTGGAAAATAAAGATTGCAAAATAAACGGCGACAGAAATAGCTAGTTGACGGGAGATTAATATGATGGAAAATAGACCCGGGGGCCATAGGTTTCACTAGTGGCTTCTCTCAAGATAGCATATTTTACGGTGGGTGAACAAATTACTGTCGAGCAATTGATAGAAAAGCGCATAGTTATGAGAATATCTAGGCATGATCATGAACATAGGCATCACATCCGTGACAAGTAGACCGAAGCGATTCTGCATCTACTACTATTACTCCACACATCGACCGCTATCCAACATGCATCTAGAGTATTAAGTTCATAAGAACAGAGTAACGCATTAGGCAAGATGACATGATGTAGAGGGATAAACTCAAGCAATATGATATAAACTCCATCTTTTTATCCTCGATGGCAACAATACAATACGTGTCATTTCCCTTTCTTTCACTAGGATCGAGCACCGCAAGATTGAACCCAAAGCTAAGCACTTCTCCCATTGCAAGAAAGATCAATCTAGTAGGCCAAACCAAACTGATAATTCGAAGAGACTTGCAAAGATATCAAATCATGCATATAAGAATTCAGAGAAGAATCAAATATTGTTCATAGATAATCTTGATCATAAACCCACAATACATCAGATCTCGACAAACACACCGCAAAAAGAGTTACATCGAATAGATCTCCAAGAGAATCGAGGAGAAATTTGTATTGAGATCCAAAGAGAGATAAGAATCGATCTAGCTAATAATTTTGGACCCGAAGGTCTGTGGTAAACTACTCACACACCAAGGTGTATGCACCCTGGATTCAGAAGGTGATTGACCATGCAATGAAGACTGGATATATTGCCAAGGTCAGCCATAAAAGCTTCATTCCTCCTGTGCGTGATACGCTGAGAGTAATGGCAGATTTCTCTTCGGGAAAAGCTCCAGAGGCAAGTCCTGATTATCATTCTACCTTCAATGGACCCAAGCTACCTAAACGTGATCATATGCCGAACACTCAACATCCTTCACATCTTTGAAGTTAGCATGCGCACCCAACAATTGCTATTGAGGCATATGTCCGAAGATCGTCAAGAAAAAGAGCATCTGGCTGCTGAACTTAATGTTATTCACAACTGAACAAAAGTTGTGCATATGATTACAACAGAAAACAAGAAGTGCTTATGGAAGTTGCTTCGGAAATTTTTCTCCAAGAAGCAACTCAAAAATTCTCACCTCCAAGAACTCTATCAATACATTGACCAAGGGTTCGCTGAAGATTATCAAGATCGCTCCACTCCACCCTTGATAGCTCGTGAACCTACTACGAATTTACTTCGAATTCAGCTGCGCAAATTACTTGACGAATCAGAAGCCACATCGCCTACTGAAAAACCTGCTGAAGCAAATCCTCTGTCTTGCAAGACTCTCAAAGCTGACCCAACTGCGCCTTCTTCTTCCAAGACTCAAGTCAGTCTAGAAGGATCAGTTGCTGCTGCTGCTGAAGATGAAGATGTTCCAGACACTTCCGAATCAGAAACTTCTTCGGGCCCTTCATCAGGCGATGCCCCAGAGTGAATCACATTCACCGTTTTCTGACACTCGTGTTTTTCGTCACCTTTCTTACACTAATTGACAAAAGGGGGAGAATAACATCGAGAGTGTTGATAGATTTGCTCTGTTGGATTTGGTGTTTGCGTTTTCTCGATATGCCATTTCTTGTGCTCTAATGTAAAACTTCTGTTATGGGTTGTATTATTAATAACCCCACCTACTGCACTATTCTCTGTTGAAGCTTATTGTTTTGCAAGTGGAATTATTAACAAAAGTTATAGATCATCGCACTTTATTCTCGTTGGATTATCTATCATCAGTGTGAATCATTACCTCGTATGATTGAAATCCTCCACACACTCGAATGAATTGCAAGGAATATCATTGTATATATATTGACCCTGCATACATCCAGGGCGAGTATATTTCATCATCGAGTCAAGTAACGCAAGTTCACTCTTGTTTGATTTACATTTCAATTATCTATCTTCACTTTGATGATTATCTGTTTTGTCAACAACCGTCCAAAAAGGGGGAGATTGTTGGTGCAATGATAGACCCCTTATGTTTCGGAGTTTGTTGACATAAACAGTATGGGACTTATGCGTTTGCTAGTGCACACAAAGTAACAAGTCCTTGATGTATCGAGGAGTTTGATGCAAACGACGAAGATAATCTCCCTGCACAGCAGTGAAGGTTATCACCAAAGATAAAGCTATCAAGAGCGACCCCTAAAAATTGCTGAAGTCAAAGCAATTGGTTCGGTGCATGTCCGAAGCAAATGACTGTGTACGAGGAAGAATGAAGGTGAAGTGAAGATGTAGCATTTAGTATTTCGTTGTTCTTCTTCTTTCATTCAGTCATAGGACCATTGTACTATTAAGAGGGGTATAGTGTCTCAAAGCTTTGATTCTCTGATGCTAAACCCAAAACCTTGAAAGTTGTGAGAGAAATCTCTTTGTGCTTCGAGCAAATACTTGCCAGCAAGAGACTGTGGTCTTCTTCGCTGCAAGAGATTTGTATCAGACCGAAGAGTTAGCATTACTTATTCCTCAAGTAATGTTACCATTGCTCCAAAATCCGACTGTTGTGAACGTGTCGGTTGGCCATTGGCTGGACCTCGTGTCCAAAATGGTCATTTCTCATTTGGGAAGGCTGCGGCTATAAATAACGACCCCGCACCGGCTTTGTCTGGCGGCTGCTCCATTTGATTTTGAGAAGATTGTTGAGCAACCCCCTCTCTGAGCGATTTGAGTTTAAAATCCATCGAGATAAAAAACCCTAGAGCCAAAGAATTAGATAGTGGTTCGACATCACTGGAATCTAAGTTTAGTACGCTCCGCCTATTACTCTTGAGAGCTGCAAACTGTCTAGACGGTTAGGTGTCAATTTCTTCAGAGACCAAGAGTGATTGTGGTTCTTGAAGAAGAAGTCTGTAAAGGTTTGGTGATCGCCTTCAAGTATCTACCACGAGTGATCGGCATCGGTTGACGAATCGATTGTCGAGGAGAATAGGGTGAAGAAAGTTTATCTTCCATGTTAAGTCACATCCCCTCCAACCAGACGTAGTCCTTATGCAGAAGGACGGACTGGTTGACCAAATACCTTGTCACCATCGAGCATCTTCGGTTACCTCTGTCACTCATGTTTACTTTCGATGCATTCCATTCATGTAATTTACTTTGATGCATGCTTTAGTTTCCCTTCGATACTTCTCTGTAGTTCATCTTAGCTTGTTTATCCTTTATTCCGCTGCTGGGTTCTCAGAGATTTAAGTTTTCCGAAGAAAATTTAAAACTCCCATTGAACCCCCCTGGTAGACATACTTTGTTCCTACACCTTCAGCAGTACCTACACACAAAAGCAAATACTTGCACCCAACGCGGGCAAAAGAGTTGTCAATCCCCTTGTACTCGTTAATTGTAAGGATCAAATCTGATAGTGCCCGCTCCGCCGACGCCGCAGATGCGCACACCCGAATCCGAGGTGCACACCACCCACCACAAGAGGCAGCAGGCTGAGGAGAGGGCGGCGGCCTCGGATGTGGTCGCACAGTCTCTTGCCGCCGCCACGGGCCGCCGGCAGTGCCCGATGAAGAGGGGTGCCTCCTCGCGTGGGTCTACCGCCGATTGCTTAGATGGTGGAGGCGGACACCCGCCGGCTTCATTGGAAAAACGCGAAGGTGTTCCGGCTTGCATTGGAGCAGTCCACGTGCGAGGCAGTGGAGGCGGCGAGAGTAGCTAAGCTTAAGAGGAAGTAGGACCACGCTGCCCGGAGGATGAAGAGCTTCATTGACCCCTCGGACGTCCCCGACGGCTCCGACTCCAACGACTCACCTCCTGCCGACCACGCCTACTTGGACACTTACAACAATTGCTCGCCCCTTGATTTTCACGATGAGGCCGTCCTCCTTAATCAAATTCCAACCAATCACAGCCAACGAGCCTGTAAATCCTCCCTACACCGCCCGTACGTCTAGCATGGTTGCCGCGAGGGGGATATCGACGGCCGGCAGTTGACGTTCACGTTGTCAGAAAAAAGATTGTCATCACTCATCACACCAACCTAAACGAACCTTTCCTGAAGCGGCGGTACGGCGGCGGCGCGGCCAAAACCCGCCGAATCCAGCTCGCCGCGGTGGTCGTCACCCTCCACCGCTCCCTCTCCGCGCGGCGACACCATTTAAACCTCGCCGCCTGCCGCCGCTTTTTTCCTCCCAGATGCTTCCCCCAATCTGCACCATCCCGCTCACCTTTCCCCTTCCCAACCCCGCCTTCACAAAACCTAGCCTCCGTCACCACCTCCGCTCGCCCTCCCTCCTGGCAACCTTCTCCTCCGCGGCGGCGGGTCGGGCGTGTGGGATAGCGGGCCGTTGGATGGGCTCGGTTCGAGCCTCGCCCTCTGAGGCGGGGGGCTGGGCGGTGGCTGCGGCGGGTAAGGAAGGGGTGGAGATGGAGCGGCTGGTGGCGGTGGCCCAGAGCGCGGCGGATGCGGCGGGGGAGGTGCTCAGGAAGTACTTCAGGCAGCGCTTCGAGATCATCGACAAAGAGGACCACAGTTCGTGCCCTCCTCCTCTCTACTTACAGGCATTTTGAAGGGGTTGTAGCCAGGTGTTGGTTGTTGGAGTGATGATAGTTTGCTCCTCTTAATACTATTTTTTTTCTGATTCCTGTTTGCTTATAGTTGAATCGGAAAATGAAATCATCCGTTTGGGTGATACTATTGTTCTACTGTTTTTTACTCTGGTGATAGGTTGGTTAGAATGGCTCATCCTTCTGTCCTCAAAACATAGGTGGCTACAAATGCCTTGCCATAGTTTTGTCCTATGTATTATTTTTGTTTGTTGTAATAATATTTGTACATTGTTTCGGAAAAGTGAATATGTACTTGTAGAGGAAATCTGAATGTGGCTGTGAATCATGTCCAAATTGTAGAACAGTTGAGCTGGACATTTCTTTATTACTCAAATCAAAAGGTGGGATCTTGATCGGAGGCTCCATAATTGTATGTGGTCTTGAACTGGATTTACCGAATTTTTTCCAGGTCCGGTCACGATCGCTGATAGAGAAGCAGAGGAAGCAATGACGTCAGTCATACTGAAGAGCTTTCCTACTCATGCTGTGTGAGCTTGTACTCCCAATGCCAATATTCCAGCTCACTTTCAACGCACCTGCATGATAAATAATGCAACCTTTACTGGGTTCATGCAGTTTCGGCGAGGAGAACGGTTGGAGGTGTGCGGAGAAGTCTGCTGACTATGTTTGGGTATTGGATCCCATAGATGGAACAAAGAGCTTCATAACTGGTACTGAATTGTAACCGTGTGTAGGCCAACTAATTTCAGCTTAACCAACAATGATGGATGCTGATTTGTTGTTCGCAGGCAAGCCTCTTTTTGGTACGCTTATTGCGCTTCTTCACAATGGAAAACCGGTATGCTAATTTTCTCTTTCTCATATCAGCTCTCCTTGTTTTTGTCCATTTTTTTAACTACTACCTGCAGGAAACTGTACTGGATAGCAGTCTATGATATATAGTTACTTGTACCCAGTGATTTAACTTTATTTTGTTGGTAGCGTCACTAAAGAACTACAGCTACATGATATTCGATGCAATCTGTAAAATATTTTTTTTGTTTTAATTTGAACATATCATATATATATACACTAAAGTCTCTTCTGGACATGCTGTCTATGTGTGTCATATATGTTTGATATTTATTCTATATTACTTGCCATTGACTATTCTTCTTTTATTTAGGTTATGGGCATTATTGATCAGCCAATCTTGAGAGAGAGATGGGTTGGGGTGGACGGGAAGAAAACTACCTTAAATGGACAAGAAATATCTGTCCGTCCTTGCAATGTACTGGCGCAAGCTTACTTGTAGGTATATTAAGTTTTAGTACATAGAAATAATACATAACATTGCAATGTTGAATTATTCGGCCTGTGTATAATAATCAGTGTTGTGCATGTGTCAGATATACGACGAGTCCACATCTCTTTGAAGGAGATGCTGAAGATGCATTCATTCGTGTAAGAGACAAGGTACGTACCATTCTTGTAACTACATATGGTTGGCAAACTTGCACCATCAACGCCACAACTCACATGCTTGCCGTTTTACTCGTTTGTTATGCAAGGTGAAAGTCCCATTGTATGGCTGTGATTGTTATGCTTATGCTCTCCTAGCTTCTGGTTTTGTGGATCTTGTTGTTGAATCTGGATTGAAGGTATATAACACTATCCTGGATGTATATTTTGTGAAATGGTGTTTGTTTTATTTTTAGTGGTGCTTGGAATGGACCAAATCTGAGCCTGGTAGTCAGTTTTCAGCTCAAGCTATCTTTGTATTTAAGTTGGGTTCGTTTTGTCAGTATCTCTCTTTGACCAGCCCAATATTATTCTTTCAAACGCATCGAATATACTAAAGTTATTTACTAAGATAATTTATTCTGTTGTGAAGCCATACGATTTTCTCTCGCTGGTACCGGTGATTGAAGGAGCTGGGGGCTCAATAACTGATTGGGAAGGGAACAAGCTCCACTGGCCTGTCTCTTCGGAATCTCAGCCGACAAGTATAATACTCAGTCTTCTTGATTTCACCAAATTTTGCTTCAAAATAACTTCTATTTTGCATCCCTCAGTTCTTTCTACCTTGCATCCCTCCACTTAAGAAATCGCAACACTACGTAAATATCGAGATTCAAAACTGGCACGGGGCATTTCATTCAAGCATATTTGCTGCTTCTGTTTAGCAGAAAACCAATGTTCCTGGTACCGAAGGTGTGATTCTTTCTCTTCATTTTGGTTCAGGTTTCAACGTGGTGGCAGCCGGAGATTCCCGTGTCCATGGGCAGGCCCTAGCAGCGTTGAGGTGGCGCTAGCCTGCCTGCAGCGCGAGGCGGCTCCTGTTGTTCATTTAGAAGGCTGCAACTCTTATTCATCTATCCAATAAAGCTGAGTCTGTACGCTTCCACAGTGGGTAAATCAAGTTGTTCACGGTGCACCCTTTATATACTCAATAATGTTCAGTGGTTTCTTGTGGTGTGTTATGATCAGCCGTTATGTACTCAGTTACTCAAGTCATTCGATGATCGCTGAGCGACTTGATTGCACCATGTAGTTCTTCTATGTTTTTCTTTTATCAGAGGGGTCTATAGTTCTATGTGATGCTGGCTCGGTTACTCAAAAATCTCTAAGCAGCGATTCTACCTGACTGATCTAAAACCAGCTGGATTTAGTTGCTAATTGGGGCAGAGTATGTTATCTGCATTGAGAGGAATCAGCCATCATCCAGCTGTAGATTGAGAGTGCGTTACAGTGAGCAAGTACTGTAGTAGATAAGCAAGAGCTGTAGTGACAGTAATGGCATCTCTAGCTAATCCCTCAAAAGTTATATTTAGGAAGACTTTTTTTTCATTTGAGGAATTAAGCACTAGCTAGCCGATCCCTCGAACTTTTGATCCCTCGAACTATTAAGTAAGAAATTGTTAATGGAATCAGCCGTTATGTACCCAGATCAAGTGCAACAGCAACAATTCTTACTTATAACATTGAATTTAATATATATCCTATATGAAGTTATAAATTAATAAGTTATCAAAATATATCTTCAAACCCCTTCACTCGCTCCCAGGAGCACCCAGTGCTAGGGTTTCTCGTGCTTTCCGCCAACAACGCCGCTGGCCTGCCTTGTCTCATGTGGTCTTAGTGCCATGGAGGTGGTGTGGATCCTGAACCCTTGTTGGTGTGAGGGCCATGTTTTTGGATGGCTTTTGAGTTTTGTTAGGGTTTGTGTCTCTAAACATGGAATAAGGTTCTCCCCACCCAGTCTCCATCCCGGTGGTACTTCTAGCATCATTGGAGGGCATGTGGAGGTTTGTCTCCTGCGGATCTCGCGGTAGTCGATTGACATTTGTCTTTGGTGGATCTAGTCTTCGTTCGTCTATATTTATGTGTCTATATGTCCGGATACTTTCGATCTATGCTTCTCTTCATCGGCGACAATTGATGTTCTAGTGCGCTGGTCCTATAGGGCCTTAACACGACAACTTTCAGACTGTCTACTACAACAAGGTTTGCCCAACTCCGATGAGGGAGAGGCAAGTCACTAGGTGGTCTACGAGACCTGGATGTAAATTTTATTTCTGGTGTTCTTTGTCCTATTTTGATTGTTGATGAATTTATCGAAACTTTTTCAAAAAAAAATCTCCAAATAAATTTTGTATGCAAACATTTGAAAGAAAAAGCAAAAGATTCACTTTTGGTATTAAGTTTTGAGGGATCGGCTAAAAGTTTAATCTCTCGAAAAAAGGAATTAAAAGGATAAGACGAGAATCCTAATCACCTGTTGCTGCACAGCGGAAGAACAGTCGTGGGTTTCTCTGCAGTGACGAAGGAAACACCGAAACAGAAGACAGAAATCCCAGTCCCCGCCGCCAAAGGCCCCAACCACGATGGTGCCAGGAATGGCGCCCAAGCCGGCGGCGCCGATGCCCGCGCAGCCGAAGAAGCCTCAGCACATGCTGGTGCTCGGCACCGGCTTCGTCGGCCGCTACGTCTCGGAGCGCCTCCTGTCACAGGGATGGTTAGTCCGCCGTCGCTCTCAGCCCCCTCCTCGCTCCGTTCTACCTCTTCTCTTTCTCTTTGACCGGCGGCGGCACAAATTGAGACCACTCCGTCGCCGTAGCTCCGGTTCCCCAACTCCCCTGATCGATGTTTCGAACTAGATTGGGTTCTGCCGCTGCTGTAGCCATCTCCTCCTCCCCCGAATTCGCTCCTTGATTTCTGTCTGGATGAACGCAGGCGTGTGTCCGGGACGTGCACCAGTGCCGCCAAGAAGATGGAGCTCGAGTTGCTGGGCATGACTGTTTCCGTCTTCGATGCCACAACAAGCAAGTACGGCTTATTTCCTCTGTTCTCACCCTTCTTTCAAGCACCGTTCTCTGCTGCGGAGCACTTGCCAAATGAATAATGCAATGGGCCGTCTAGCTTAAAAACATGCATGAGTCTAGCCAAAAATGGTTGTAGGCTGAAAGTCTTTGACCCACAAACGTTTCACTAGTGTTATTAGTTGAATCGCATCTGAAAAGGTGAATGAAGTCTCGTTTGTTTTCTGTTGAACATAATTTCTTTGCTGATGCAGGCCAAAATATTTGCTTAAAAATGCAGTGAAGTCAATCTTTGGAACTAATACTCCTACATTTATATACACAAATACTTCAGATATGGCAGATTGTTTAATTATTAGGGGAAGAAGGCCACTCCAAAATTTTGTGCTAGACTCCAATATATTTTCTTGAAATTTTATTATGACGATATATGATCCTTATCTCTTGTTGTTCTACCTGTGTCCCCCTGGCCCTGGGTCCTCTTACTCCTGTGTGTGGGTGCCAGTGAATTTTGCTTTCTCATACATGAATCTTTATGTCTACGGTCGATTTCCTTTTCTGATTACTTATGGCTGTCAATTCCAGCCTTGCAAATCTTCATGCTTTGCAAGATGCAACCCATTTGCTCATCTCCATTCCTCCCATCCCTGGGGTTGGTGATCCTGTACGTTGCCGATTATCTGCTGCTCAATTCAGTATGCTTCGCTTGAATGCGGTCCTGATTTGGCCTCATGGTTATCCCTTATGCAGTTGCTTTCTTCACATGCTGACCTGCAAACAACACTGACTAGTGGTAATCTTCAATGGTTATGCTACCTATCTTCAACAAGTAAGTTCAAACAATGTGTGCACCTCTAATATGAAATAGTATGTTGGTTTGGGGTGAAATTGATTGACAGCATTTCGGTAGTTTCTGTTTCACTGAATTATTTAACATGTGGCAGTCAAATGAACTGCATTTAAGTGCAATAGTTTTTATTGAGGACCCTTACTTGGTTTACACACTGCATTCATGTCAATGCACTAGAATAGGAGAACATTTCTATTTCTTCACCCTTGTTAGGTACGTTAGCTCTTCCAGCTGGCTTAGATAACTGCCTTATAATTCTTATTATTTCCCAGGTGTGTATGGTGATTGTGGTGGTGCATGGGTTGATGAGGAGTAAGAAACTGAATGGTTTGTGTGTGTTTTTGCAATACATTTTTAAAAGTGCAGAAGAAACTGATGTATATGCAGTCATGTAGTGAATCCAAAGAGCGAGTCTTCCAAGTTAAGATATGCCGCTGAACAAGGATGGTTGGATCTTGTCGACGAGCTGGATCTATCAGCTTTTATACTTCGTTTGGGTGGGATATATGGGCCTGGAAGAAGGTTGAGATATGCTAATACTTCAATCCATTTTACTATTTTGATTTCTTATCAAATAATTAGTCAACTCTAGAAATGCTTGACAATTGATATGCTGATTTGGACCAATGTATTTGCACCTATGAAATGAAAGCTCGTCAGCACTTTTTTCATGACTGCTTTGGATTTTATCATAGAAACCATCAAACAATGTGATAGAGATGAATGGTTGGAAGATTTGTTCAAGAAGACTGTTTATACGTCCTGATACCGTGTCTCTGAAAGCGTCGGTATGACGACTATTCTTGTTTCGTATTTGTGATGATCGTCATTTGTTGTTGCAGTGCTTTGGACACCATAGCTAAGAGAAAATCTTCTTCGCGAAGACAGAAGTTGAGGGAGTCCAAACAGTACACTGCACGTATCCATGTGGCTGACATCTATCAGGCTATCCTGGCTAGCATGAGCATCAAATCTACAAGGTTTCTGTTTTCTCTTGCTTGCATAATTCCATGGTTCTTTGCAATTGCTTGAGTCTTCACGCAATTTTCAGAGACTTCATTACAGTTTACATATAGCATAGCTCAAATATGAGATTGCAACACCAAAAGTCCCCTTCGTTTGTATTTCTCTCTCGCTTTGTTCTACAAAATAGCCATATCAGTGTGATCTTTAAACATCATCACACATACTCACCGTGTGTTCAACTTCATATTTCAGTGTTACCATACATGCTGTGGTTATATTTGTTCTAGTCATGTTCTGTAAGCTTATGTTTTCAGTATAATCCAGAAAAATGACCGTACATCCGGAGACTGATAATTGGTTTCACATGCAATGCCAGGAAGATATACAATGTGGTGGATGATGACCCTGCCCCGAGATCCGAGGTCTTTGCATTTGCTCAGAGCTTGATAGAGAAAAGATACCCTGATCTCGCAGCGGATTCTGCAGGATCAAACAGCCAGGACAGGATTATAGCTGCTGAAAAACGGGTATCTAATTGTCGGTTGAAACAGGAACTGGGCGTTAGGCTTGCCCACCCATCTTACAGATCAGGGCTGCAGAGTATTCTTGATTCCTGGTTCGCCGAGGGAAATCAGTGATGTGTAGCCTGTGCAGCGAGTAGCATTTCTTTCAATCCTTTGGTTTGGATGATACTCCCTCTGATCCTAAATATAAGTCTTTGTAGAGATTTCACTATGGACTACATACGAAGCAAAATGAATGAATCTACACCCTAAAATGCATCTATATACATCCGTATGTGGTTCATAGTGAAATCTCTACAAAGACTTATATTTAGGAACGGAGGGAGTACAACTTGAACCTGTACACTATTAGCAAAAAAGAAAAGAAAAACATGAACCTGTACACGATACCGCACATTGTACCTGAGACTGAAGTAATTTACTATGATCCCAAGGAATATTTTGCCGAACGTAGTGAAAACTAAAATAAATGCAGTTGCAAGATTAATGTGCATGTTCCATATTACCCATTCATCAAGTACTATTAGATGTCCATTGAATCAGTAGATACCGGAGTCTGTTGGAGTACAAAGACGAACCCTAATGCAGGCAGCTGGCCAAATCTGAAACCAGAAGCCAGAGAGGGAGCAATTACTTAGGGAAAATGAAAATAACCTACAGCTAGCTAGCAATTCAGGAATACATTTTAGTGATGGATTTGTAGGTTGGCGAGGTCCCTTGCAGCGCGTCTGGCCTCGTGGCGCTCCCTCCGCATAAGGACCTCCTGGCGCCAGGCGTTAACGCAGGGCAGCGAGCAGTGTTGCTCGTAATGCCAGCCCGCCCACTGGGCATGGCACTGTGCGCACGTGCCCGGCGCCCTCCTCAGCACCGGTAGCAGCAGCAGCTCGCCCTCCTCCTCCTCCTCGCCGACCAGGTCGCCGAGGTAGCCCTCCACGCGGCGGAACCACGGCTCGAAGCCCGTGCACCGGACGCAGTGCGCGCCTCCCTGCTCCTCGATACGGAGAACGACGCCGGCGAGGCACGTGCCGTTGCTGTGGTGCGGGCAGGCGGCGGCGCAGAAGACCTTCTTGCAGCCCGTGCAGTAGGAGTCTCTGGGGAGCGGCGTGGCGTAGTCCTCGGCGGCGATGGCGCGGACGACCTCGTCGGGCATCCACTGCGAGTCCCCGGGCTGGAACACCGGCCGGCCCGCGACGTCGACGGAGATGACGGCGTGAAACGGCCCACGGTGGTGATGAGAGCCGCAGCAGTGGGAGCAGAAGGCGTGGAAGCAGAACAGGCAGAAACAGTCCCTCCGGCATCCACTGCAAGTTCCTCGAACTCGAGCGGCGACAACAATGCTAGACGTACGGAGGATTTACAGGCTCGTTGGCTGTGATTGGTTGGAATTTGATTAAGGGGGACGGCCCCACCCTGAAAATCAGGAAGCGAGCAATTAGATTAGGCCACGTTGTCATCCTGTAAAGCTTTGTATGAATATCCTGTACGTGTAGTATTATTGCCCTCGCGGTATCGCAAAATTCCTCAGGTTGCAGGCTTTCACCAGCTTCATTTTCTTCTAGATTAAACAGTGAGAGCATCTACAGTCCGACCTCTCAAACCCGTCTCAAACGTCCGGACCCGGTCACTGATCGGTCACGTTTTTTTACCCAAACGGATGCCTCAAACGGGCCACAAACGTCCGGACTGACCGGCATCCCCCATATCCAGTTCAAATATGGGGTGGATATGAGGCGCCCGAGCACGCCCGCCACGCCGGACCAGGCCCATGCTGGCCCACCCGACCCCACTTATATTCGTCCCCATACTCTCGCCGAAGCAAATCCTAGCCACTTCACTCCACTCCCCTCCCCTCTCCCTCTGCCACCCAAACTCGTCTCCGACATGGTGGGCAGCGGATCGGTCTCCAACCAGTCTGGTTCCGTCGACTGGGGTGTCATCCTGTGTGGATTGGAGGAGGCAATGGAAGTCTGCATTGCACTCTGCCGCTCCAGGGAGGACAACGCCCGACCGATGGACGAATCCGCCCGTCGCGACGCCATAGCTTCGGCTCACCGGGCGCTCGGGTCCTCTGGTGCTGGATCCTCGCGGTCCCGGCAGCCGGATCCTTCCCCATCACCGGTCGAGCAGACTATGAGTCCCACCGGGAATGGGCGGCCGCCATGGGAAGGATAGGATAAGGGCCGCTGAGGCCCGTATCGTGACGAAAATGGCGGCGGCTGATGCGGCGGCATGGGCGGCCGCAGAGGAGGAAGCCATCTGCGCCCGCATTGTGAAGACACGACATTGAGGGAACACACGTGCCCTCACCCGAGAGCAGAATCGGCGGTCTGTGCCATGTCCGAACTGCCACCAAAGGAGGAGAAGGACGACAGCGACGGCGAGGAGCAAATCCGGCTCGATCTGTATTGTGTCTTCGGCTGGTACATCTGCGAGAACGACGGCAAGGGCATCGGGAAGGGCAAGGACAGCCATGGATGAACTCCACCATAGCCAAACATGCCAAATTTTGGTAGTCCGATGGCATGTTTAGTGTAGTGTGATGGAGTAGCCGGACGACGCATGTGCGTCGACGTAGTTGCGTGAGTTTGTATGGGTTTGAGATATGGTAATTGATAACCCACAAGTATAGGGGATCGCAACAGTTTTCGAGGGTAGAGTATTCAACCCAAATTTATTGATTCGACACAAGGGGAGCCAAAGAATATTTGCAAGTATTAGCAACTGAGTTGTCAATTCAACCACACCTGAAGATTAATTATCTGCAGCAAAGTGATCAGTAGTAAAGTAGTATGATAGTTTTGATAGTAGTAGCAACAGCAATAGTAACGGTAACAGTGATAGCAATAATTTTGTAGCAAGTGCAATAGTAACAGAAGCAGTGGTAACTTAGCAGAAACAATATGAGAGAAATTCGTAGGCATTGGATCGGTGAATTCGTTAGATGATATTCATCATATAATAATCATAACCTAGGGCGATACGACACTAGCTTCAATTCATAAATATAATGTAGGCATGTATTCCGTAAATAGTCATACGTGCTTATGGAATGAACTTGCATGACATCTTTTGTCCTAACCTCCCATGGTAGCGGGGTCCTATTGGAATCTAAGGGATATTAAGGCCTTCTTTTAATAGAGAACCGGAACAAAACATTAACACATAGTGAATATATGAACTCCTCAAACTATGGTTATCACTGGGAAGTGTCCCGACTTTTGTCACTCCGGAGTTGCTGGATCATAACACGTAGTAGATGACTATAACATCGGATCTAGAACATAGATATAATGGTGATAGCATAAAGGGTTCAAATCTGAAATCATGGCACCCGGGCCCAAAGTGACAAGCATTAAGCATCGCAAAGTCATAACAACATCAATCTCAGAACATAATGAAGTGCATTGAATACTATGAGAAGTTTGATTTCTTATGATTGTTTTGAGATATAAAGATGGTGATATTAGAGTCATGCTAGTGAGTAATTGTGGATTGTAGAAATACTTGTGTTAAAGTGTGTGATTCCCGTAGTATGCACGTATGGTGAACCATTATGTAACGAAGTTGGAGCCTAATTTATTTATTGATTGTCTTCCTTATGAGTGGTGGTCGAAGACGAGCGATGATCTTTTCCTACCAATCTATCCCCCTAGGAGCATGCACGCAGTACTTTATTTCAATGACTAATAGATTTTTGCAATAAGTATGTGAGTTCTTTATGACTAATGTTGAGTCCATGGATTATACGCACTCTCATCTTTCCACCATTGCTAGCCTCTCTAGTACCGCGCAACTTTTGCTGGTGCATTACACCCACCATTACCCTTCCTCAAAACAGCCACCATATATACCTACCTATTATGGCATTTTCATAGTCATTTCAAGATATATTGCCATTCAACTTTCCACCGTACCGTTTATTATGACACGCTTCATCATTGTCATATTGCTTTGCATGATCATGTAGTTAACATCGTATTTGTGGCAAAGCCACCATTCATTTTTTTATACATGTCACTCTTGAGTCATTACACATCCCTGTACACCACCGGAGGCATTCATATAGAGTCATATTTTGTTCTAAGTATCGAGTTGTAATTCTTGAGTTGTAAGTAAATAAAAGTGTGATGATCTTCATTATTAGAGCATTGCCCCATGTGACGAAAAATAAAAGAGGCCAAAGAAGCCAACAACAAAAAAAGGTCCAAAGAAGCCAAACAAAAAAAGAGAAAAGAGAGAAGGGGCAATGTTACTATTCTTTTTCCACACTTGAGCTTCAAAGTATCACCATGATCTTCATGATAGAGAGTCTCTTATGTTATCACTTTCATATACTAGTGGGAATTTTTTATTATAGAATTTGGCTTGTATATTTGTGATAGTCTGGCTTATTAGGGATGATAGACTACTCATATCAATAAGGAATTCCTTCTTTTCCGGGAGCCCATTCAAAAAGTAAGCGTGTTCAGCTTGGAGCAATTTCAGGATGGGTGACCGACCGGGAAGTTGCTCCCGGGTGTGATCGAGTGAGGACAAAGTGCGCAGAAAATATTAGTATTGATCTGTGAGGTCAGTCTAGATCCCACCAGGAGTAACTACCACCGGCGGGTGTGTCCGGGGCGTTACAATATTCCAATGATGGGCTTCCTCAAATTGCCCTAGGTCTTCATGAGTAGGCTATTGGGGAATGCAGTATTTCAAAAACTTTAACTACGATCACGCAAGATCTATCTAGGAGATGCATAACAAAGAGAGGGGAGAGTGTGTCTATGTACCTGTTGGAAATATGCCCTAGAGGCAATAATAAAATGATTATTATTATATTTCCTTGTTCATGATAATTTTCTATTGTTCATGCTATAATTGTGTTATCCGGAAATCGTAATACATGTGTGAATACATAGACCACAACATGTCCCTAGTGAGCCTCTAGTTGACTAGCTCGTTGATCAATAGATGGTTACGGTTTCCTGACCATGGACATTGGATGTCATTGATAATGGGATCACATCATTAGGAGAATGATGTGATGGACAAGACCCAATCCTAAGCCTAGCACAAGTTTGTGTAGTTCATATGCTAAAACTTTTCTAATGTCAAGTATCTCTTCCTTA